TTTGGGTGCTTTGCAATGCCCGTCATTATGCAAAGGCCCAGAAAGGCCTTCAGTTCTCTAGTGTTCAGATCAGTCCATGATGGCATGTGCGCCGATGCCGTAGCGGGCCTCTGCACGGCATACCGGTTGCTCTCTTGCACTATTTTGTTATAACGAGAACGTCGTCAAAAAACAGTTCAAAGGCTTCACTGCAGGTCGAGCTGCGATGCAGGCGGGGATCGACGGCACCACCATTACCAGTGAAGCCGTACTTCAGCGGTGTACTGTCTTCATCTGTCCACCGGAACGGTGCGGCACTGCTGCTGGTCGATGCGGCGGCTGTGTACGGGACTGTCTCTTGCGCTTGGCATATACCGCCAAGGGTACATCACTGTCAATTTCTGTACTTGACTGTACTTGAGCAGGTGACGGCTGTGATGAAAAAGACGAAGAAACTTCATCTGAACTCGCTTTCGCTGGAAGAACTGGACTCTCCGGATATAACTTCAGCCATGTTGTCTGTACTCTGATAACACGATACCCAGTATGAACGCACGTGAACACTGCACGGCTTTTTTATTCTCAAGCAGCGAGGGCCGTGCCCTGTCAGTCAACGTGGCAAGGGCCAGCAGCGCCCGGGCCGGGTCATTCATGGGACGCAGGTGCATAATGAGCCCGCACAGCCCACGCTTTGTCTTCGGTGCAGTGCAGCAATAATCCCCTGCGAGCGCCCGGCAGCACGAACAAATGCGCTCTGCAAAACAATACACGGATTACCTCCGCTTATTGCAGGCTCTGCGCTGAAAGAATACAGGGATTGATTGGCAGTGCCCAGCAGCTCTCAGGAGCTCGTACTTTTATTCAAGGCTTTGATAAGTTCGGTCACCCCGGTTATAAAAAAAGTCACAATTCACCGGCCAATGATGGCCTAAACTTTTTAACTGACAGCCCCAAACTTTTTAAGAAACGCCCAGCAACTTTTTTTTTTATAGTTAAGTTCCGATTTCGGAGTCCCCGGCCCTAAATATAAGGCCTATGGCTCCGGTACCGGAGCCCCCGGCATGAAGTGGATAATTGTTGTTGACAGATGAGTTGAGATTTTTACCTTGTTAATTCAACAAATCGAGAAGTCAAGGAAAGACGACTTACATGTGCATTTTAACCACTTGCTGCCAAGGAAACCCCATTTCGAGCACCATGGGTTCATACGCATAGCTGGGTTGCCCGAAATGGGACAAAAGAGCTAATTCCGTGTAACAAAAGACCGTACTCAGTACAAAAGACCTGCTGCTGGGAATTGGCATCATTTTTTCAGCTTGCATTTTTCAAAGGTGCTTGTATTTTTCAAAGGTAGTCCGTCTCTGTTTTTAACCCCTTCGCTATGGAGGGCTAGGACTATGGCACCATTGTGTGAGGATTAGTGCATACCACACATACAGTCTATTCACCATGCAGCTGCTGGTTCAATGGGGCCTGCTGTTGGACAAAGCCTTCCATTCATGGCATGCACAGCCCAGCAGTTGCGGACGAAATAATCCTGCAAATGCCACAGCATTGTGTTAGGATTGGTGCATACCACACATACATGGAACTATGAACTCGGCCTGTGGTAAAGCATGTAAATTCCAGGCTTCGTGCCAGTTAGAAACAAAAGTCCACCTAAAATAATTACTATGGCAAGTTCTCCAATTCCAGACTTTTTTGTTTCTGATCACTTGTTAATAAGAGCTACACGTACCTTTCTTAGTTTTGTATATCACATTTTCAGATGATTGCTGTTTTGAAAGGTAAAATGTATTAGAAGCTTCTCATGCAAAATCAGTTTTAAAAAAATTTACAGTAGGGGAATTTTGGCCAGATTTTTTACTCACACTTCAACATATAAAGATGGTTGTTAAAAATCATGGAAGCCAAAATATCCACCAAAGAATTACAGGGCAGACCGTCATTCACTACGTGTGATTCCAAGTATGTTTCTATACTTAAATTTTTATTTATTAAGCTCTCATAAATAAAATATGTCACATAGAAATGACTCACATTGTTTTTATTTATTGAAAATATGCTGACCGGAACTTTCTTGGGGGATGGTATACTTCGGTCCCAATGGACTCATCTTTAGACACTCAGGGAATCTCTGGTATGGGCCGTCCTTGAGGAGGAGGGTGCCCTCCTCTTCGTTGGAGGGGCACGGCGTCACAAATTGGTGTCGGAAGTGGTTCATCCTCGAAGTTCATTTTGTCTACAGAGAGTTTTTGAGTTCCAGTTTCCTGTGATTTGATTGGTTGATGCATAAGCTACTGTGGGCATCGATAGCATTAGCTTTGGTTTGCATAATATTGGCCGTCATTTACTTTAGGTACATTTGGCTTGTTCATTTAAGAGATAGGAGGTACTTTGGTTGGTTGAGGTCTGCAAGATTTGATCCGCCGTCTGAGTACAAGGTTAAAACAGTAGTATGTGTGGTAGC